TGGTCAGCAATTGATGTCTGTTGCCATGCCGGAAGGTGGATGGCAGATAACTATGAAGAGAGGAGATAAGAAAAGGCTCTGATTTAATGTTTTGTTTCTTACTTTGATGCAGTGATAAGTGATGCTGGCTGTGTATATGTGATGTTCCCACTGAATATAAACCATTTGTACAATGATTGAGTCAAAATTTTTAATTGTAGGAACCTTGTTTTTTCGTCCCGCCTTGTTTTTTTCACCCGCTCGCATTAGAGTTTGAGTCTGCGGAGGATGTCATCCATAAAATTTACTTGTTGTGGCATCAGACCGATTGACAGCGTAGTGAAGCACTTGTCAAGTCTAAAGCGTGTAGCGCTGGCAGCTTAATTAACCTGACGTTCCATACTTCATATATCACGAGAATCTAAGAAAAAACACTTCAAAATATCACGAGGATCTAAAAAACACTTCAACATTTCCTCTTGAAGCTCAAGGTATTATTTTTTCTGTTTCTATACGTTTATTTATTTGTCTAGTGACAGAAACGCTCGACGGCTAAGATAGAATACAAAGAATATTAGATACAGAATAAAATATACACAGGATATTAATTTTTCCGTTTATAGTAGTGATTATATCAGAACCGAGCCCGCAACAATCCATATGTGGAACGTGCAGCGCCTGTACTTAAGTGTTAACGCCACCAGCGTACAGTAAGGCAACAGCAAGCAAGTTTTATGGATGACATCAGCGCGCGCATTGATTTTCGACTGATTTTGGAAAAAACAAAAACAAAAAAATTTGTTGCCCTCTGACAGCTACAAAGGTACAATGAGGTAACAATGCCTGGTATATTAAATACAGAATGAAATATGCAGACTATTGTTTTTTTTTCAGTTTATAGACGTAATAATATTACCGAGCAATAGTAATGCAGACCGTTCCCGCGCCTGTACTTAAGTCTATACGCTAGCAGCGTACAGTGAGATAATAATGGCTGGTATGGATGTTCCATTGTTTCCACCTACATGGGTTTTATTAAGGTACGCTCCTCACGTGTATCTGTATCTGTACACGGAGTGTGTTATGCCAAAGGGCGGTTATACAGGCTTTAAAGATACAGATAGATACATAGCGCGTGTCCTTGGGTCCTAAATACTAAACGTTAACTCTGTATCAGTGTTAAACGTAGTTGTTGAAAAGAGCTAGGGGGATTTTCCCGGTACAATGAACCTGTAAATACTGTACACAGCGCCTGTCCTTGGTACTGATAGGTATATTAAGCTTTCCGTGGCAAATATTCGTGATGGTGATTAGAATTAGAAATGAGCAGCGTCAATTTTCATTTTTCATGCGTGTCCTTCAGCACCACCTGTCGTTTAGCCTGGGGCATTTTTCCCGCCACAAAAAGGACAAAGCCAAGCTTCATGTACCATTGTTAGAACAATTTGTCCCTTGTCTCCAAAATCTAGCCTCTACAGCATGCCAAAAACTGGTTTTTTTTGGGGTCTTCAGGGTCTTTTGGAGCTTTAATGTGCTATTTTCTGATTGCATATAGACAACATAGCCAACCTGGTTGAATATCCCCCGTTTTTAGAACTGGGCTAATCAGAAAACAGCCGAAGACTACCAAAACAAACCCCCAGTTCTATAAGCCTGCTACGGAGGCTAAGCTCCATATACCAGCAGATTTAGAGCAATTGGTCCTGCTTAAGCTTTGTCCCAACATTCTTGTCAAAAGCCGGTCTCCTTTTGAAATTGATATAGTAGCTTCCTAGAACGTACTGTACTGTTGCTGTTAATATCAAAATATAATATTCTATATATATTCTATTTCAGCCGAAGACAAGGATAAAAACGTGTTCAGTCAGGAGAGATATATTTGTGTGGCACAGCGTTCAAGCTAGTTGGTATGCATGCGAGACTTACCCCAAATAAATGTTTATATTATAGAAACATAATTAATATCTAATATTCTGTATACTTGTAATATTCATTTTCAGCCATGGACAAGAATATAAAGCGTTTTCAGTCAGGAGAAAATATATTGAAATTTATGTTGTGTGTCACAGCGTTCGCGCTGGATGCCATCTACTTGTACATGCGAGACTTACCCCAAATAAACGTCCATAATACAGAAATATAATTAATATATAGCATAATTTATATATAATATTCTATATACTTATATATGTAATTGGTTAATATATAATATTCTATATACTATTCTATGTACTTATTCTATATGTGTGTGGAACGCTAGATGCTATCTACTTATACATGCGAGACTTACCCCACATCCAGGCTGCGAACACCCAGAGCACAAGCGGGACCATACCGGCTTCTTAAAACACTCCTGGACTTAAGGAAGGAACGTCCGACAACTTGAGACGTTCTGACGTCGATTCCTTAGCTCCCAAGACGTCCAGACATCGCGGTAAGAAGAATTTAAGAAAGGAAGGTGGTAAGAAACACCCGGTAGTACCGACTACAGAGGAGCGAGCTGGTTTTTAGCGGCGGTGTCATATGTTCGATTATGGTTTATGCAAATGAGTTGGAACCTCCCATGGGACTGTGTATGGGGTAGAAGCGGCGCATGGATGGATATTTATCTTCCTGTTCGCACATAAACTGATAGGCCACACCGCCTTGATTTTATGGATGACATCCCCTGAAGACCCCCAAACTAGTGCGCGCGGGCGAAAAAAAAACAAGATGGGCCAAAAAAACAATGTTCCTACATTTTAAAATTTTGCCTCAATCATTGTATATGTACATGTTTTTTTTGTAGTAAGATCACATATACACAGCCGGTATCACATATCACTGCATTAAAGTAAGAAACAAAACATTAAATCAGGCAACAGACAATTTTGCCCATTTTTGGCATGTAGACCACTGTCAGAAGGCAACAAAATTATTTTTTTTCAAAATCAGGCGAAAACTAATGCGCGCTGATGTCATCCATAAAATTTAAATGCTGTGGCCTGATGGCAATTTATAATGTCTGTACGATCCACTCAGCGAGTTCCCGGTTATCCTAATATCTAATAAGGCGATCCATACATTTGTACACCACTTTATCAATCAGGGCCACTACGGAGTCAGCGAATATCCTATCATATAGTCCTGTGGGATATCAGGCCACACCGAATTAATTTTATGGATGACGTCCACGCGCGCATTGATTTTCGCCTGTTATAAAAAAAAAAAAAAAAAAAAAAAAAAAAAGAATCACGTCCTCCAAGGCTCTAGCCTGGCACTAGGCCTGGGTAGTCCATGGTAGTTAGCGACAATACGGAGCCGGTGGTAACTCTGGAGGATGCGGCACCCAGGCTACCGAAGCTCAACGACTCAAGAACTCGTACATACGTACAGTGCCGATTCATAAATTCCGCAAAAAGCCAGCATGTGCCGGCTTGTCGTGTAGCTCGCTATGTACTGCCGCAAATTCATACCATCTTTGTGTTCCATCTCGCATTAGATTTGGAGTCTGCAGAGGATTTCATCCATAAAATTGACTTGCTGTGGCCTTGCCATAAATATTGCAGAAGCATGTATGCGTTGGGAACATTGGCATATTCATAGTCATCAGGCACGCTGTGCTGCACGTGGGGAATGTTAAAAGCATCGGTGGAAAATTAAATGGCAGAGCGACGAATCAAACAAAACATCAGTATGTTATAGCCTCCATAGCATGCCAAAAACTGGTGGTTTTGGGGGTCTTCAGGATCTTTTATGTGCTATTATCTGATTGCATATAGACTACATAGCCGGCCTGGTTGAATTACCCCCGTTTTTAGAACTGGGCTAATCAGAAAACAGCCGAAGACTACCAAACCCCCAGTTCTATAAGCCTGCTACGGAGGCTAGGTATGCTAGAAACTACTACTCTCCAAGCAGAGGTTTGGGATTTTGCTTATCTTTAGGCTTTTTTGTCGGGCTTCCTGGAGTCTCTCTTTTTTGGTACAGCAACGAATGAAACAACTCGTCGATATGCTAGAAACACCGCCATTGTGAAAGCACATTTTCATTTCATACTATGTAGTGACAAGAATTTTAATAATTTCTATTTGGGACTGGGATACCTCAGTAATGTTAGTTAACAAATTTTATATTATATATAGAAACACTTGGCATTTGGTACCGCATATGTCCCTATGATGTAAGAATGCCTATGACACTTCGTTCCGGAATGCATTGTTAACAGTAAAAACTAGCACTGTGAACCAAGTAACAGTGCACTATGAACTAGTGCACTGTGCACAAAGTAACATCTAGCGTCAGTGCACAGTAAACCAGTCAGAATTGCCCTGATGAAGATGACAGACGGTCATCGAAACGTCGGCTCGTGAAAAATAAATGGTTGTGATCAAAGAACTTTGCTATTCATGTGTAGTGTGTTGTAAGGTACATGTAGACTTTGTTGTTAGAAAGTCAGTAGAAAACTCAGTGCAAACGTAGTACTCAAAAAAGTTTATTGTCATGGTTATAATAACTTGAGTAGACTGACACATATGTATGACACAACACCTCACATTTTCACATTTTCACAGTAAGATGAACTTGACCATGAGAAGATCAGTAAACTCTGACGGTACCATTTTTGTCTGAGTTTTATGCTTAACTGGTAACATCTGAAAAAAAAGCTTGTGTGTATTCAGTCAGAAAATGAGCTGGAATCTCTGTCAGTTTTTCTGTAAGTATGGGCTCAAAATACTGGGTGGTGCACCCAAATTTGGAGCTGTACACCCAATATTTTTTTTCTGTGGGTGCACCAGTGCATTTTTATACAGATAGTAGGAATGTTATTTCAGAGAATTCTGCAACCAAGAAATTCGATCTTGTAGACGATGTGGGCCCCCGTCGCGGTTACCAGATACCTTTGACCCAGTGTTGACGTCACACTTTAAAGAAGCCACGTGACAAGCTTCACTGGGTCAGTCTACTGAGGAAGACCAGAGTGACTGGTAAAAAGCTCTAGGTGAGAGAATTTTTTGTGTTGGACTAAAAGTTTTAATCTTTTCCTGTTATCAAACAAATGGAATGTAACTTGAACTTGAAGGAGCAGGGTGAAACCAAGGGTATAATGTCCTTGAAGAAACCTTCTCTAAGACATTTTCTCGTCTTCCTTATCCTCTGTCTTCTCTGTAAGATGCAGTTTGGCTTTCTTGGGAGGAGTTGGTATGGGGTCCTCATCCTCCTAAGATGGGAAACAAGAAAATATGGATGCGTTAGATGTGCAAATATCAGGTGTAACAATAGCCTCCATAGCACGCCAAAAACTGGGGGTTTTGGGGGTCTTCAGGGTCTTTGGGAGCTTTTATGTGCTATTTTCTGATTGCACAAAGACAACATAGCCAGCCTGGTTTAATTACCACCATTTTTTAGAACTGGACTAATCAGAAAACAGCCGAAGACCACCAAACCCACAGTTCTATAAGCCTGCTACGGAGGCTAATCAGAAAACAGCAGAAGACCACAAAACCCCCAGCTCTATAACTTATTAAGCCTGCTACGGAGGCTAATCAGAAAACAGCCGAAGACCACCAAACCCCCAGTTCTATAAGCCTGCTACGGAGGCTAATCAGAAAACAGCCGAAGACCACCAAACCTCCAGCTCTATAAGCCTGCTACGGAGGCTAACCAGAAAACAGCCGAAGACCACCAAACCCCCAGTTCTATAAGCCTGCTACGGAGGCTAATCAGAAAACAGCTGAAGACCACCAAACCCCCAGTTCTATAAGCCTGCTACGGAGGCTAATCAGAAAACAGCTGAAGACCACCAAACCCCCAGTTCTATAAGCCTGCTACGGAGACTAATCAGAAAACAGCCGAAGACCACCAAACCCCCAGTTCTATAAGCCTGCTACGGAGGCTAATCAGAAAACAGCCGAAGACCACCAAACCCCCAGTTCTATAAGCCTGCTACGGAGGCTAGTATTATTGATTGATTGATAACTCACAAACTTGTCAGTTCTGATGAGAGGCCCACTCAGGATTAGTGATTGATTGATAGATATATTGATTGATAGATTGATGAATAACTCACGGATATGTCACAGTTCTGACAGACCCATCCGTAGCCGAAGCACTTTGGTGAGCGAGTTAGCGGCGGGTCCAGGCAGGCGAAGTGGAAACACAGCTGGCAGTCGTCACACCTGGAAACAAACAAACAAACAAATAAACAAACAACATGAGCACAGTTGGCAGTCGTCACACCTGGAAACAAACAAACAAATAAACAAACATGAACACAGCGACTATCCAGAACCATGCCTGATCCTAACCCTAACCCATTCGGGCATAGAACTAGACAGGCACGGTTCTGGATAGTCTCTGCAGATCCAATGGTTCTGGATACACATGGATTATCCAGAACCATGCCAGTTCTGGATACTAGTATACTAAAGCTGCTATGCCTGGTGCCCTGCAGTACCAGTATTAACAGGTAGGTGGCAGTGCTGTACTGTACCTGACCAGACAGGCGTTGTCCCCAGTCTGCCAGCACACACAACATTCCGTCCTCACGTCTGTGTCTCTCACACGCCGCTCTCGCCGCTTCTCTGGCTCCTAAAAGTAGAAATTATTTTTACAATGTAT